TTGTTGCAAGAAGTGATTTGGTAGAGATTAAATAAAATTTTTAGCAGATTTTGATAAAAGTTGATGGAATGTATGGTTGAAAAGTTGCGGATCCTATTAAATGATTGGTTAAAATTAATTATTAACTTTGGCTTAGATTTTAATCAGATTTTTTAAGGTTGCCAAACAGGGGTTTAGGGGCACTTTGGAGTAGTGTAAGTAGGATAGTGAAATTTGATTGGGAAAGAGCAAGTTCAAGAATGAAATTGTTTACTTAGCTTAAATTCTACGTGATTCACTTATTGTATTTAAATTCTTGTCACTTGATTACCGTGAACAATTTGAAAGGAAGGACATAGCAAACAACATCGTAATACCATATACAAATAGATTGAAATCAGGGTTTGTGAGAATTTTTCTTCGTCGTGACTTAGGTTACAAAAACTTCTAGCCCTAACTTCAGAGTAGTCTCGTCGATATGCTCTCACTTATGCTCTTTAAAGCATCATCATGCCTTTTTATCTATGTAATTGCTTTCTCCTTCTGTGGGCACAAGGATAAGTCGCTCTCCCTTCGTATGAAGATCATATCAGTTTGTAGTTAAGGATAGTGTATAAAATCACATCTCGGTATAGCGTTCCTGGAGGATATGATTATTAGGCAAAAAAATTTCATAATTCAACCCTTTTTGGAAAGCGTGAAATTATTAAAATAATATCTTCAAGCAACACCAAGAAAATTGAATTCATGACTTCATCCGTTACGTACGTTTTCACTAGGGGTGGGCAAAAACAGTCCGAACCCGACAAACCCGGCTGTACCAAATCGACCCGACTGGGTGGGTCGGTTTTTTTCCATTTTTTTATTGGGTTCGATATTTGGAAATTCTAAGCGGGTCGGGTTGTGGGTTAACCAATAAAACCCGACAAAAACCACCAAACCCGACTTGCCAATTAAAAAAAAAAGAACCGATTTTTTGTCAAACGAAAACCCTAAACTTGGACTCAATTCCCTCAAATGCACACTAAGTCAACAACAGCCGACTTCTCACTTTTCTCTCTTCATATTTTCTCTCTTTCTGCTCTTCATATTTTGGACCAAATGATGATTGTTGGTAATGGAAAATGCACTTCTAGACATGGTGAAAGTGGTTGAGGGATGTTAGTGACTTTAAGCTGCTCGTGGATAAACTAAGGACTTAAATCAGAATTCTTCCCAATTCTGCTCGTTTGTGTTTCTTGAGAACCTAGCTTGTGGAAATATCAACAAATTATGTTTCTTAATAGCATGTCTAAATGCCCTATGATGGAAGATGCATTGGTTAGTTTTGTGTTTTGTGCCTTTGGTTTTCACGGTAAGCCTCCCTCATCATCAAGGCAGTCTTCACTCCTGCCCTCGTTCTTCTTCCTCCCGTCATTGTATTATTATTATTATTATTATTATTATTATTATTATTATTATTATTATTATTATTGTGACCATCTTCAAGGCAGTGCTTACCGTGATTGTATTATTATTAT